TAAAATTTCTTGAGAGGCCTGAGTAAGTATATAGATAACATATGTTTGCTATACACAATTTCACTTCTAAGCTTAATATATTTTAAATGTGTTTTAAATGTGTGCACTATTCTTTATTAATGTATGACAATAAGATTTTTTCTTCCTTTTTGAAACTTACAGATTAGAGAGGAATTTTCCTTGTAAATTATGTAAGAGCTAGCAAAATAGAATTAAGATGATATATGAAAAAAATTTAAATAAAATTTTAAATATACTCCTGGACTTACTGGAACTAATAAAGTATTAAGAAAAATTTAATTTTAAAAGGTGACATATAGAAAATCTTAAATACAGTGAAATTAATAAAATATAGAAAAAATATAATACGCAGGGTGAATTATTTTAGGGAATAAATTGGGAGAAATGATGTTAATTCTGTGTTTTAGTAACCGTATGAGGATGTTGGGCCCAAGAGAAAGCCTGATAGACTTTGAAAGGAACAGGAGTCTAATCCAGGCAGTGCTGAGACTGTATTATCTGAGTTTATTTCTAAATGCCAATCCTAACAAAGAAAGCCTTAATTTTGAAACTTCTGAGCAGGCAAGTAGATGGATTGTAGATTCCTGTGCAAACTCTCTGCTTCATACCCCACACAATACCAAGCAGGAGCCAATGAATTGTTGCTCAATATATAATAAAATGCCCACTTCACAGGTTTATTATAAGAATGAAATTAATTGATGCAAGAATAATAATTAGAATAGCACCAAGCAAGGTAAAACTATCCCTTCAACTACTATTTTCCTCATTTACTTTCTATGATTAAACTTATAATAGCCTCAAAAATCATTTGAAAAAAATAATGTTAAGCAGGCATCCCTATCTGTTAAAAAGGATAAAACCTGACTGGCCAACAAAATTGGAAGTTTCCTTGTGGCGGCTGCAGATGCCAGCATTAACCTCAGAATTAAACTGGCCTTTTGAAGCCTAGACTGGGGCCTGCTTGAAAGACTCCTGGGTGTCAGACCTAAGTCCACTAATGCTGACTGACATCTTCCCTTGGAAAAACTAAAAACATTGAACACTTTTGTGTCATTCTTGAGGTTGCATCCCTCAGATCCCATTTCTGTGATCCCAATCCCATCATTTCATCCATAAAAATATTAGCTGGAATGAACTTTTAGTAGACAATATAAAAGTCAGTAAGTCTACACTTTAGTTTAAATAAAATAAATTTTCTGAAATAAGCCACCTACAAATTTCTAAATTCAGCATAATCAACACCCTGGGTGATTTCTATGGAACCTAATTGTATCTCTAAGTTAGACTTATTTTAAACTTTGATGTTCATCTGTGATACTAATCTCATTTTTGAGATGGTTCTTGCAAATAGTTAATTATGTTGTTGAATGTATTCTCACTTCCTTGTAGCCGGAGTATTTGATTCTGACTGCTTTACAAATAGTATTTTCAGATGATTGCGTACTAAGCTTTATATTGTCAGGTATATTATAATTTATTCAACATTTCTCCAGTGCCTGCTATGTGTTAAATAATGCAGAATACCCCTCATATTTCTTTATGATTCTCCATCAGTTTTCTATTTAAAGAAATCAACAATCTGGGGCCAGCACAGTAGCAGGCTAAGCCTCCACTTATGGTGCTGACATCCCATATGGATGCCAGATGGATTCCTGGCTACTCCATTTCCGATCTAGCTCCCTGCTAATGGCCTGAGAAAGTAGCAGAGACTGGTCCAAGTCTTTGGGACTCTGCACTCACATGGGAAACCTGAAAGAAGCTACTGGTTCCTAACTTCAGACTGGCTCAGTTCCAGCCATTGCAGTCATTTCAGAAATGAACCAGGAGAAGGAAGATTTCTGTCTCTCCTCTCCCTGTAACTCTGCCTTCTGAATACAAATAAATAAATCTTTTAAAAAACAACAATCTCCAATTTATAAAAAGCTGTTTTTGCAAGCAAAAAAAAAAATCTCCTAAGATTACACAAATACACACTCAAAATACATAGTAAAGATATGTTGTAGGTGGGTGATTAGAGAGCTGTGACATATGAACATTCTTCTGTATCACTGTTACCATGGAGTTGTAGAATCACAAAGGACACTTCATTTGGATGGCATGGCCATATCTAGCAACTTCCCTCTTGAGTATCCTCTTTCTTCAACCTCCAAAACAATCATATTTTTTCTTTCTGGTTTTTTCCAAGACTATAGTCAAAGATCTGGAAAATTACAGCATATCTGGTCTTTTAGTATCATCTAAATGTAAATATTTCAGCCTGGAAGGTATTTGAAGTTTCAAGTTTTGTGTTTGAAGATTTGATTTATGTTTAAAATATTCAGTTTTAGTATCTGGAAGAATTAACGTAAATATATTGTATCATTTTAGAGGCATCTAGTTAGCTCTTAACAACTGTCTATGTAATATGATGTCTTATTTGGCAGCTAACATCATAGGTTGGGAATCAGTTATTTGAATTCAATCTGAGTGGCTCAAATGACTTGTGTAACTAAAGCACTTTTCATGCTGGAAAATAGAACTATCTATATTTGTCCTGATGTGAGTTAATAACCAAGTTAAAGCTCTTGACTATAAATGTTATGCTTTCATTTATGATCAATGCTTATTTTGTTATGTTGCCATAAAACAATTTCAGCCTACTGAATATTTCTGGAGATAAAATTAAGATGGATTTTCTCAAGAGTATTCAGTCAGATTTTGTCATTTTAAACCACAGTCTTTCATTTGGTTAATCTAAGATTTCATTTTATCTTGATCACCATTATTTTGGGCATGAATGAGCATAAGCTTTCAAGTACTGCTGTTGGAATTTCTTCCTCTGAAAAAGTATCTACTTATCCACTTATTTATTTGTTATTTATCCACTTGTTTGCTTTCCAATTGGCTGCAACCAAGAATTCCATCCAGGGCCTGGCAGAGGCCTAGTGGCTAAAGTCCTCACCTTGAATGTGCTAGGATCACATATGGACACCAGTTCTAATCCCGGCAGCTCCACTTCCCATCCTGCTCCCTGCTTGTGGCCTGGGAAAGCAGTTGAGGACAGTCCAAAGCTTTGGGACCCTGCACCCACATGGGAGATCTGGAGGAAGTCCCTGGCTCCTGGCTTCAGATCAGTGCAGCACTGGCCGTTGCAGTCAATTGAGGAGTAGATCATCAGACGGAAGATCTTCCTCTCTGTCTCTCCTCCTCTCTGTATAACAGACTTTGCAATAAAAATAAATAAATAAATAAATCTTTAAAAAAAAAAAAAAAAGAATTCCATCCAGGTCGTCCTCATAGGTGGCAGGGACCCAGGCATAACTGCCATCTTATGCTGATGGTCCATGCATATAAACAGAGAGCTGGATTGGAAGCAAAGCAGCCAGGACTTGAATTGGTGCTCTCATACAGAATATCAACACTGCAGACAATGGCTTAACTCACTGTAACAATGTGCTGATCTCTTATGGGAATTTTTGTACCTCCATTTGTCAGTGGGAATTAAATGCATCAAGTCGGGATAATTTTTAAAATTGTAACTGGATAATTTTTTCTTGAATTCAGTATTAGGTCATTTACTTGCTTATTTAATTTTTTTTCAGCACACAAAATGATGGAGCTTATTTAGAAGGTAAGAAAGCAAACATACACAGATGGGCTAGAGTGTCCTAGATTATTTAGGGAAAAAGTATAATTTTGCTTATGACTGGTTCATTACTTAACACTGAGGTCACAAACAATCTCCTTTTAGACTAACCTAGCTGCTGTTTCAGATGCAGTGATCAGTTCCCAAGTCCTGCGGTTGTGTCCTAAATATTGTGCTCCCCCAGTTTTTCTTTTTTCTGATGCATAGTTTAAAAATGTAACAGACTAAAGTTTCATCATACTCATTTATAACTATGAGTTCAGCTTTCTTTTTTCAAAAAAAAATTTTTTTTGAAAATTCAGATTCATAGAGAGAAGGAGATATAGAGAAAGACCTTACATCCATTGGTTCACTCCCCAGATGCCCTCAATGGCCAAAGCTGATGGAGCTGTGCTGATCCAAAGCCAGGAGCCAGGAGCTTCCTCCTGATCTCCCATAGAGGTTTGGAGTCCCAAGGCTATGGACCATCCTCTACTGCTTTCCCAGGCCATAGCTGGGGATGGGCTGGGATACAAACCAGTACCAACATGGGATGCCAGCACTTGCGAGTGGAAGATTAGACCATTGAACCTTCACACCAACCCCTATTAATTCAACTTTCTGAAAATATTAGGCTGAAGCAGTAATGACTTCTTTGTATAAGATTGGTTTCCAGAAAGAAAGGATGTAGCTCACGTTTAACATTTGTTTCTTCTTCGCTCTGTTGAAGAGAAGTCTTATCTCAGTATGGAAAATGAAAAGATCCTTAACTTTTCCAGAGTTTGGAAAAAAAGCAAATATTGTACTTCTAGTACGCAATTTTGTTTGATATATGCCATGTCAAAAGGAATTGAAATTAAAAATACGTTCATTGAAACTAAAATTTACTTTGCTTTACTAGATGGAGAGTTATGTGAACACCACCACTGCAACCCAGTATACTACTAATTATTCACAAATGATGACTTCTCCCAAGGGAAATATCAGAAGGTCTTCTTTTCCTCAGTGTTGGGTACAACAAGTATGTCTGAGTTTTACTCACAAATAAATTCTGTCTTCTGGTTTGTTTGTTTGTTTGTTTGTTTGTTTGTTTTGGGAGTTTAGCAGAGGGAGTGTGGGTAAAAGTTGGTCTTTGCACCTCAATGTACCTGTTTTGTACGACTTCCTTAGGTTAAGCTTCACTGGGGGTGGGGGCTTATTCTTACTAATGGTGTACCAAATTTCTTCTAGGAGCCCATTGCTCTCATTATCTTCTTTGGGCATTTTGAGATTTACATATTAGTGGATGTAAATATTGTTCAAAAAGTCACTAATGATTTTTCATAGCTTAATCATCAGAAAAGTATATGATTAAAAAATTGTTTATTTATAGATTATATTGGTGCAAGTTAATCCTGGGGAGACCCTCACTATCAAGTCTAATGATGGAAACATTCAGAAAATCCAAGGTCAGTGTAATTAGGTATATGCTATTTCATATCAGATAGAGTGAATTTAAATATTAATATGAAATTACTTTACTATTAACCACTTACTTGTATCTTTTCCTGTTGAGCCACATTGAATGCTTTTACAGTCACATAATTCTCATAGCGGCTTAGTGTCAAGGCAATAGCCAGATTCATTTTGCTAAACATTGATCTTCAAGAGTAAGGTACTTCAAATAAAATTAAAGGACATTAATTCCACAATTCCAACACAAAACGTCCATATTTTGGCCATATTTTGGAAGTATTCATAACTATATATAGTTTTAGACTAGTCCCCTATAGGAAATGACTGCTGAGGCTTTCAGCCACGTCTTTCACTTGTATATTCAACAAGTTGTTTCTTGAGTGCTAAGCTTGCACCAGCATTATACTAAACAGGTATAGGAGAAAGTAATATGTATATATATTACACATATATATGCATATATACATGCACACACATTATGTAGTTGTATATATTAAATGTATATTACATTTATCTCTCACTATATGTACATAAATATCTCAATTCGAAATAGCTCAAACTGATGCAATTGTTTCTGATTTTATGCCAATTGTTTTGCATCCTAAAGTGATTCTGAGCTGTCCAGAATTTCGAAAAGCACTGGATCATCCAGCAATGGATTTCATGTGGTTGCCACATAAGGTTCATCATGAACACACATTTATTATGTTTCCTATTGCTAAAAATAACTTACCATTCTAGAATCTGAAAGTTGCATATGTTTTTAGAACTAAGCACTAATTATAGTAGTCTCAGATAAGCAAAAGCATGGTGACATATAAATGTTTCTACTCTGCTATATTGCTAAATCCTATGCAACTGTAGGTTTAAGACAATATTTAGCATAAAAGTAGGACATCATATAAGTAGCCTTGAGCCCTTTATCATACCCTATTTATTGGAGGAAAGTCTTAAAAGGAGAACTGACTTAAGTTTTATTAGGTAATATCACTACAAAAATGTATTTTGTGATGTAGAACAAAACTTTGTTATGTAATGTATAACCATGACACATGAGAAAGAATAGGTAAGTAAAAGTCTAGCAACATGCTAATGGTCAATTTTCATTAACAATAAAATATGCCAATTAGCAATATGAATTTTATCCAGCACTCAGTACATGCCTTGATAATTTTCCATTGTTTATGACAAATTTTCATTGCTTCATCTACCTTCATGAGTAAACAACATACAACTTCCAAAATGGTTGGCTATTATGAAAGCACGATTCTAGTTTTCACTGTGTAAAGTTAACTGGCTCTTTAATGGACTTTATTTAAAATTGTTGTAGCATTTATTAATAATAATTATCTTTTAGGGCCTGCTGATGTACCTCTGATGTCACCAAGTGGTACCTTGCCAACTATATATGTTCCGCCTGGTTACATGTCTCAGGTATACAAGTATTGGGTTTGTTTGATGTTTGGCTCTTAGATAACATTCAACATTTTTCATTATGTCACTACATGATTAAGAGAGCTTCAGAAATACTATTTATATATTTGCTCAGCTGTTATCATCATTGCTTCAAAGCAATTATTTCTAACGAAACTTTTAAGGATTTGCATTGTGGTACAGTAAGTAAAGCTGCTACTTAGACCAGCATCCCTTATCAGAAGATTGGTTCAAGTTTTAGTTGCTCAGCTTTGGATCCAGCTTCCTGAGAAAACATTTTTTGGGGGGGGGAGGGGAACAAGATAAAAAATATTTTTATTCCAATAATTTTCTCAGGATAAATTCTGTAAAGGTCACACAAATACTGTATTTTTTTCAAGATTGCTAAGAGAGGTACATAGTCTTTTAATTTATGACACAAAATGATTATCTTTATTTATTCCTCCGGTATCCTTCGTAATGTAAATTATTGTTGTTTCCACTAATAAACTTCAATAGAAAAAAGTCAGATTTTTCTATACACTGCACTGAGGAAATATTAGACAGTTTTAATTCCACAAGCAACAATACCATTTACAAACAGGGATCTATGAGCTAACAGTTTATGGTACAATATTCCACTACCCACACCAGTTTCTTAGAATGAAAAATGCTACAATTTCTTTTGATGAGCTAGAAAACGCTATCCTGCCAGAATTAAGTATTAGTCTCATTTTAAGTATCACAGGTCTTAGAGGGGAAGGAGTCACAGATTATATGTTGCACAGGATAAGATATTTGGATCTGCGTATTATATAGGTTGCACAATGAGTTCCAGAGAAATTACTGTTGGTATTAACATGGGCATTCCCACCCTTCCTGTTTCACACACATATTCAGCAGTTTGATTCCCTGGGAAGAGCTTTTACAATCCATAGGGTTGGAGTTCGAACTCAGGCTCCATTTAATCTAGCAATGTGATCTCAAGTTGGCTAATTAATAGGGCGAATGCACTTTTTTAAGGCAGTGGAAGATGGCACCTGCCACCTGCCTGGAAAAAAAAAAAACTATTGGAGTTCCAGGCTTCTGCTTCAAGTCTGGCTATTGCAGACATAAAAAAAAAAAAAAAAACACCAGTGGATGGGAGATCTCTTTCTCTGTCTCTTCCTCTCTCTGAAATTCCTCTCAAATAACGAAATTTGTAAATGCCCATCTGGTTCTCCTACATGGGTATCAACAACCTGTGCACTTGGTCATCACCCACGGCTTTCCTAGGTGTACCTGCAAGGAAGCAACAATAAACGATAAGCAGAGCAGCTGGGGCTGGAAGCAGAGCTCTGATATGCAATTCCAGCATCAAAAGCAACTTAACTCACTGTGCCACAACATTGGTTCCATATAGCCCTTTAAGAAAAAAAGCATTTTAAATGCAATCATTAAAAACAATTGAGTTTTAGCTAGACTCCTGCTTAAATTGCGCCATGAAATATGCCTAACTCACTTAATGAATTTGGATCTCTTTGTGTTTATTATTCCTCTATTTTTGGTTTCTGGATACTTTAAACCATCTTAATTATTATAGTTGCTATAACAATGGCTTCAGATAGCATATGTGCTTTAGTCTGAAATTACTTAGCATTTTCAGAATATTCCATAGTAATCAGGCACCTAAAACAGGCAGGGGATTCTGGCTCCTATAAAGATGAATAAAAGAGTTCAAGATCTTGGAACTTAAATAATTGAGAATATGTCTTCTGCTTCTTCTTGGTTTTTGCCTTAGTAGCTTATTTGTGTCTACTACACAGATATGCAAATGATGTGAGGAATCTGCAAAACAAGTTCATGGAAATATATCTTTTGAAAAAAACTATGTATGGATTATAAAGCTTATTTACACTAAGTAGACTCAAAGTTCATTTTCCATTAATGTTTTATGGTGTCCTTTCTGTTTATTTCTAAATGGAATAATATATTGGATAATATCTACTTTAAATACAAATGCATATACTCTTTGGCCCAGTCAAATAAAAGGCCCAGTGCCAATAAAAGGAATTTATTCTACAGATGTGTTTTCACAAATTTTCAATTGTAAATGCAGAAGGGAATTCTTTACAATATGTTTTAGTCACAAAAAACTGGGAATAATACATACGCTCCCAAATGGATAACTTTATAGTAATGGAGCACGCAGCAGCTGTGAAAAGAATAATTGGGAAGTTTTATGCACTGATGTAGAAAGGTTTCCCAAAACATAAAAATTGTATGTATAATATACATGTGTGTATATTTTAAATATTGCTTCACTGAATTATGCTATGTAAATGACAATATACTCTCCCACATTAAGAAAAATAACTGAGGGTGGTAAAATAGTGAGGACTCTTGGAGTACCAGTAATGTGTTGTTCATTTTAAAATATATATATGCATATATATATATATTAGTTTGATGTTGTTTATATAGTTGGCAAGAATGAAGATCCATGAGAACTACTGATTAGGGTGGGGAGGGTTGAGGTATAAGGGAGGTGAGTGGGACAAATGCTTCCAATCTTTTTCTTCCCTTTTCTCCTGCGTCTGGCAGGGGGAGGGAGAGAGGAGGAAGAACTGTTCCCAGCTGCCAAACTAATCACTACCCAGATATGCAGAATGCCCACTTAATGTCATCTTAGAAACCCCAAATAGAGAGAATAATGCTCTGAAGATATTGCTTTAAGTGGTTTTGATAGTTCTTAGACACTGTTGGTTTCAGTGTTCCCAGACTGAGAAAACTCCTTCCAAGACCCATTGGCTGACAAAGTCCACCCTAGTGCATCCATTCACTCAGACACTTGCTATCAAAGCTTGGCCAGGAAAGTTGTCCAACATATTCTGCTCTCCATCTTCTTCCATGGCACTTGACATTCTCTGCAGGCCCAAATGAACTGGCCATCATGCTCCCCTTAAGCACCTGGGCATGCTGTTCACTGCATAGGCATCAGCCATCAATGAGGCCCAGTTCAGATACATGCATTCCAAGGTTGGAACATAAATCATATGATTTTCCCTGTGGTTGCAGTTTTGAGCCCAGTGGTCCAGTTGGGGAGCCCCCCAAGAAAACTTACCTGGGCTGACCACAGACCTGATTCTTGCATGTGCCAAACAGTTACAGGGTCTGGTTCAGTCCATGACCCATATCAGCCTATGCACACATTGGTGACTGCAACTGCCTGGTCAGTTCTGTCCCTAGCCCCATATCCCATGCAAACTGACGGGTGCTGCAGCCCAACCCAACCCAGCATGCCATAGACCTGGCCCTTGTGCATACCAGCAGGAGCTACAGCCTAGTTGAGGTAATCCCCAATAACTCACAGTAGGCCCACTCCCAGCCCCGGTTCCTGCATGTGCCAGTTTGTGCAACAGACTAGTAAAGTCCATGCCACATCCCAATAGGATTCTTCCATACACTTATGGATGCTACAGCTTAGCTCAGGCCTTTCCACCTCACAATCCAGTCCACACACATGACAATGGGTGCTGCCACCTTGTCTAGCCTGGCCCGCCCCAGACCTGGCTCTCATGCACACCAGCAGGAACTGCAGCCCAACAGAAGAGTGCCCACAGTTTCCCTACCAGGTCCAGTTCCAGTTCCAGATAATACACTTTCCAGGGATTACTACAGTTCAGTCTGACACAATTTTCACCCTGTCCTGGCACTTGCTGGTAGATGCTGTGGCAAAGCCCAGCCAGTTGGCACTTATCCTGGCTCTTGTATGCGCCAGCAGATGCAGTGACCTGGCCTAGCCGAGTCTTTCCCCAAACCCAGCTAACATGCAGGCCAATGGTTGTTGGCAGCCCTGCCCAGTCTCATCTGCTTCCAATCCCAGCTCCCACACTCACCAATGGGAGCAGTGGTCCAGCAGGGGAGCCCCCATAGCTCCCCCACCAGGTTTGCTCCTGGTCTGGGGTCTTGCATGTGCCAGTGGATACTGCAGCACAGTCTGGCATAGCCTGTCTTGCTTTGGCATGCACCAATAAGTGCTGTAGCCTGGCTCCACCCAGCCTACCCCTAATTCTAGCTCATGCTAGGGGCTGCTGCAGCATAGCCCAGCCCAGCCAGCCACCAGTCCTGGCCCTAATATGCGCTGACAGGTGTTGTGTCCCAACCCTGCTTAGCCTGCACCCATCCTGATTCTCACACCTGCCAGCAAGTGTTGCAGACTGACCCAGGCTGTCCCACCCTCTAGACCTGATCCACATATATGTCAATGGGTACTGAAACCCGACCTAGCCTGGACAACCCTCATGCTCACCAGCAGGGCTGCATCTTAACAGGAGAGTTCCCCAAGCTCCCCCATCAAACCAGCTCCCAGTCACAAATCTTGTACACAGGTAGGTGCTTGGCTTTGCCTGACTTGGCCCACCTCCAGTCCCAACATTCGCTTGAAGGTACTTTGACCTTCACAGAGCAGTCCACACCTGTTCCACCTCTCTCTGGAGCAAGCTGCAGCCCAGCCCTGCCTAGCCCACTCCCAGATCCAGCTCTCACGTGAATCAGCAGGTGTCTAGACCTCGTTCAGCCCATCCCACGTCCACTCTGGCTCTCACGAGCTCCAGTGGGTGCTGGAGCCTAGCCCACTCCAGCACACCCCAGACCCAGCCCACATACATGCTGAGGGATGTTGCAGCCATGTTCAGCTCAGTCCACCCTCACTCCCTGCCCTTATGCTTACCAGTGGGAAGCGCAACCCAGCAGGGCCGGTCCCCTTAACTCCCCAACCAGACCCACCCTAGCCACAGATGGTCCAACAACACAGTGTTGAAAGAGAGAGAGAGGATGAAAAAAGGAAGGAAGGAAGGAAGGAAGGAAGGAAGGAAGGAAGGAAGGAAGGAAGGAAGGAAGGAAGGAAATGAAGAGAGAAAGAAAGAAAGCTCTTCAAAAGAATGTTAAATACCAACAGGAAGGCATGTAATAGTGCAAATGCTGCTTTGTGTATAATGTAAAAAATAAGAATCTTCAAGCTTATTTGTTTTATAGGCATAAAGAAGTTCTGGAAAGAATCATGAAAATGCTAAGCATAGTTTTCTATTGATAGTGAATAGATATGGTTAAGAGAGCAATATTTAATTGTGTACTGTTTTACACCTTATGGCTTCAAAACATATCAATATATTATCTGTTGTCAACACACGTGGGGAAAAGGAAGGATTACCTTGCCGCCTGCCTGATGTTACAATTCAAATCAACAATTGATTTTAAGTGCTTTAGGTTTCTAAATTCAAACACAAGGCATAAGTTCAAAAATCTGCATAAAACATTTACTTGTATGATTTCTCGTATGTTGGTACGATTCTGTCTTCCATCTTAGGTAGTGGAAGAAAATGGGATTCGCAAAATTATCGTTGTGCCTCAGACAATTAACTGCCATATGCCCATGCCTGCTCCAATGCAAGCACCGCAGTTCGTACTACCTGTGCATCCACAAGCACCTGAGCTGATGTATCCCTCCAATCAAGGAGAATTTCCACCACCATATCTCCAGCAGCCTGTGCCCCAGCAGCTGATGCTGCCACCGCCTGCATTGCCACCACCACCACCAGCATTTATGTACCAACAAAATCATGGTAGTGTATAAGTTTCTTAAACAGGAAATATTTTTAGTTGGTTAAAACTGGCACATATGGATAATTTTTAATATTTAAAAGGTGTAAAATACTAAGTTTCAAATAATGGTGGGATTTTGTGCACATATATCAAGACGGATGACCATCCTTAGGCATAAGGTTTTGCATAAGGCAAAGTAGAATTTTCTATATATGTGTGTGTTGTACTTTGATATAACAATGTGATTTGTGATACTTAATTTTACTAATTAGGTATATGACATCAAAATTCTACAACTGTAAAAGGATGTTTAGGTTATTAATGCCATGTACTTGAAATACAAAAGACACTGGCAGGTTAACATGACATTCATCTTAAGACCTCAGTATTTGGAACTGGATTTAATACTATATTGGCTCATGCTTCTCTTTCTATACATACCAATATATTATAAACACTCACACATACGCCTAGTATTTTTATTAAAGCAGATTGATAAACATTTTAAAAGTAAGGCATAGCTTACCAGTGCTCTTTTGTTGGTTAGATTAGATTTTAAAAGGACTTCAGATATGTAACTGTAATAATTAGGATTATTAAACAGTATTTCATTGTCTCTTTTAGCGGCACCCTATTCTCCGGGAAGAAGAAATTATAACCAATTTGATGAAAGGGATACTAGATCAGGAGAACATATGAGGAAAAAAGCAAGACAACACCAAGTTGGTGGACCCAAGAATAACCATATGTTTAACAACACCTCTTTGCTTGTGAACAAAACTTATGATTTTTCTAATATTTTTGAAACTCCAAACACTTACATTATGAACTATGCTCCAGACTCCTACATTGCACAGAATCCCTTGAGAGTTTACCATGTAGACAATGGTCCAAGAGCCTACATCGGTGAGAATACTCCTAGCACCTCCATAATGAACAATGTTCCGTACACATACACTGTTGAAAATACTTCCTGCACCTATGCTGTGAACAATACGTTGAGCACTTATACTGTGAGTAATACTCCAAGCACTTACACCATCGACCACCCTCCATCCACTTATGCCATTGACAAAATTCCCAACAATTTTTCCACTGATAACATCTCTAACACGTCTGTCTCAGATGGCACTCTGCACCTTGCCACCAGTGATAGTGTTCCAGGTCCTTCTGGCACTAATAATGTTCCCAAGACTAGCACAAATGACAAAATTCCCACAACATCACCTATTGACAATACTCCAAGCTCTTCTCCTGACAGAGCTTCAAACACCTCCATCTCTGAAAATATTCTGTGCACTTCTGCTACTGACAATGTGTCCAGTATTTGCAATGCTGCCAACGCTCAGCTTGAGACTAGTCATGGAAATAAAGGGAGTACTGTGGGGGTCGGAGACATCAGGCAGAAACCAGGAGGAACACAAAACCAGAGCCCATCCTCAGACGCAGAAGACAAAGGTACAATAGACTTCAGTTTTGTTGCCAATGTATAAATATTCTAATATTTAGGAATCTTGGCACATTTAAAATATTTTGGTGTAATTTTCTACTTCTACTTCCTCTTGTCTTCTTTAAAATCTTAGTTCTAAATTATTATTTCAGTTCACTTGTTATCATTTTTAATTGAAAAAATTATAATCATGTATACTTATTGGGTACAATCTGTTGTTTTGCTATATGTATACAATATGAAATGGTAAATCAAGCTGATTTATTGAATCATCAACCCATCACCTCATTTATCTATCTTTTCTTTGTGAGACATTTGAAATTTATTGTCTTAGCTTTTTTGAAATACGTAACACGTTAGTATTGACTACAGTCACTGTTGTACAGTTGATTTGAAAACCTATTCCTCCTACCTATCCGAAACTTAGTTCCCTTTGATCAACAACTCTCCATTGTCTCCCTCCTCACCCAACCATTCTACTCTGTTTCTATTAATTCAACATTACTATGTTTCACATAAATATAAGGTGAAAATCATATGATATTTGTCTTTGTACATTTGAATTCTTAACATAGTGTTAAGGTTCATCCATATGCTATCTATATGGTAGCAAAATAGAAAGTTTAAATATTCATTTATTTGGGGCCCAGCATGATGGCTCTGTGACTAAATCCTCACCTTCTATGCATCAGGATCCCGTATGGGCTCCAATTCGTGTCCCGGCTGTTCCACTTTCCTTCCAGCTTCCTGCTTGTGGCCTGGGAAAGCAGTAGAGGATCGGCCAAAGCCTCTGATCCCTGAAATCACCTGGAGAACTGGCAGAGACTCTTGGATCCTGGCTTCAGATCAGCTCAGCTCCAGCCATTACAACCATTTGGGGAGTAAACCAGCGGATGGATGATCTTTCTCTCTGTATCCTCTCTGTAAATGTATCTTTCCAGTAAAAAAAAAAAAAAGTTAAATCTTATAAAAAAATATATTTGTTTAGTTGAAAGGCAGAGTGATAGGGAGGAGAGAAGAGATTTTTCATCTGCTGGTTTACTCCCCCAAATGTCTGTAACAGGGCTGTGCCTGGCTGGAGTTGTAAACCAGGAACTCCATCCTGCTCTCCCACATGGGAGACAGGATCTCAAGTATTTGGGCCAGCTTCTGCTACATTCCCAGGTGCTAATACAGGAAGCTGAAGCAGAAGCAGAGCACCTGGATATGGATATAGTAAGCAAGCACTTGGACATGGGAAGCAAGTGGCAGCTTAACCAGCTACGTCCATGATGCTGGCCCTTTATGGCTGTATAGCACACAAAGCCATGTAAGACTGCATTTTTAACTCATGAAGAAATTATTATCCTTGTATAAAATGTGCATACCACATAATTCTCTCTAAATACCTGTCAGGGAAACATTGCAAATTACTCTATGAGAATACTTGCTCCTATTTTGCTAGGATCAGTTTAGTATTATAAAATTTAGACTTCTCTTTTTGAAATATTTTGAAGTAAATTGCCTAGCAAATGTAACTCAATGTAATTTAACATCTCTCAATGAGGGTATACTTGTATTTGGACATCTAATTCCTCTATCTTACTTTTGTCTTTTTGTTTGGTTTTGTTTTGTTTTTACTTCTAGAATGCAAAATGGAAGATGGAAAGCCATGCTGTCTCAATGTTGAGAAACCTGTGGTAACTAAAGTGGATATTTAAATTTAAATATTTATTTTAATTTATACCGCCAGTCTAAATCATGTGAATTCACTACTGTTTTTCTCCACACAGTTTTAATGTGCAATCTTTATCTAGTCAAAATATCATACTCTCCTTTGGCAGGCATTGTAAAGAATAGCAATAAGAGCTTGCCATTACATCACAGTATTTAAGCACCTACTATGAGAATAAAAAATAGCCTCAGAAAAGACTGAAGGATAGATTGTATCATAAATCACAAATTACAATTTTTAAGTATTCTACTTGAATTCTTGCTGTTTTAGATCTCTGATATTCAAACAAGATCTGCAGTTATTTCGTGGAATTTGCATGGCTCTGAGAAATGTCACCATACCGAACTTCCTGTAACATTTGAGTTGGCAATTTCCAACAGTGGTAAAGACGGAAAGTATGAAAACATGTATACGTAAGTCTTTCTCTTTTTAATTATTTCCCATAATTCAATCTGAATATGGTCTAAACATACAGATGCCTAGTAAAGGCTGCATTCTAAGAGTTTTTCAATGATATTTTTCTAAGTTTTGAATGCATTTTTCTATAGCAACAATGTCCTAACTTGTGGTAGGTTGCAAAGTCAGTGCACAAAACTCATTGCATCATATAGCATTTTAGACTTGAGTGAGACCTTAACTATTTACTGGTCCATTCTCTACTCTATGGACTCTTATAAGGCAAGTTTAGACTCAGAAAAGAAACCCTCCAATTTTCTCTCTCACTTTATGGTGTGTCTGGCAATATGAACAAGATCTTTGTGTTGCAATGGGAATTTAAAACTTGGGCTGTCCTAAGATTCTTATCATAGGAACCAGTTGCAAGATGGAGACTATGAACTGAAGATGCTCAAAGATAGAATCAGAACTAGGGTGGATATAGTGGAGGACACAATAGGACACTTCCAACAACTTCTGGACTGCAGAGGAATATGTCATCTGAAAAGAGCAAACTGATAGAGACCTAGTGGGAAGGAAATCCAAAGTAGAGGAAAAAGAAAATTCCTCAGGCCCACCCCAAAATTAATAAATCAACTATGAAATTATTTGTAAAGTACTTTTAAAAACATAACACATCTGAAACTTTATTTGCTGCCACTTTTTATCCTGAGTCAGAGACTCGAAGTGAAGATTTGAATGTAGTTGGCTGAAATTTCATTTCTCTTTACAAGTATCAAGTAATGTTTTAAATATAAGAATGATAAAAAGCATCATGTATGTTGGATAGCAGGATGGGAATACATAAAATGAGAAAATGAAAAGCTGCTTATAAAATTAACTTCCATGATTTACATAATTTTTCTGGTATTATGATTCACTTTAGAAAAATCACTGATTTTCATAAAAATATATTTGCCTATACTCTTATCACCCGAAATCACCTTTGCTTCAAAATACCAATCTTCAGGCCTGACGCAGTAGCCTAGCCACTGAAGTCCTCACCTTACACGCACTGGGATCCCATATGGACACTGGTTCTAATCCCAGCAGCCAGCTTTTCTTCCAGCTCCCTGCTTGTGGCCTGGGAAAGCAGTCAAGGATGGCCCAAATCCTTGGGACCCTGCACTTGAGTGGGAGACCTGGAAGAGGCTCCTGGCTCCAGGTTTTGGATTGGCATAGCTCCAGCCATTACGACCACTTGGGGAGTGAACCAGCAGACAGAAGATTTTCATCTCTGTCCACTTGGGGAGTGAACCAGCAGACAGAAGATTTTCATCTCTGTCTCTCCTCCTCTCTGTAAATCTGCTTTTCCAATAAAAATAAAAATACATTTTAAAAAAAGAGAAACACCAATCTTCTAGTTTTTCTGGAAGTTATTTCAGAGCCTACAGCTTGAAAGAGTACCTTGGGGTGTTAGAGTAACCTTAGGTGACTGCTCAGGGGACAGTGCGTGGAAACCTAATCATTCTATCTACTATTGCAGATAGATGCTCACCCCAGCAAAATTCGGTGTAACCAAGTACATAATGTCTTTGAGGTTCCTTATTCTACATTACTTCAACAAGTTTAGTTAAAAGGAAATTTGTACCATTGTTACAAAAAACAGATGAAGACTGCACTCTGGTCTCACATGAAAAAATTTCCACACAAACAATACAGTGAACAAAGCAACATTTATTAAGTCAAGAGAAGGTCCTTTAAGACAGACTCACACCTGGCACAATGGCCTAGTGGCTAAATCCTTACCTTGTAAGTGCCAGCATCCCATATAGGTGCCAGTTCCTGTCCTAGATGCTCCACTTCCCATCCAGATCCCTGTTTGTGGCCTGGGAAAGCAGTCGAGGACGGCCCAAAGCTTTGGGACCCTACACCCACGTGGGAGACCTGGAAGAAGGTCCTGGAAGAAGGTCCTGGCTTCCGATCCGCTCCGGCCATTGTGGCCATCTGAGGAGTGAGCTAGTGGGTGGAAGACCTTTCTGTCTCTCCTTGTCTCCATCAATCTGATCTGCCTTTTCAAAAAAAAAAAAAAGGAAGGAAGGAAGAAAAATCTGGTCTAAATGGAATCCTGTATGCACACTATTGGGGAAAGAAAAGAGAAAAAGTAGGATAGCTACTAACAACCAGAGATGAGGCAGAAAACCATCAAAAGGTGGGAATTGCAGTCCTGACTAGCCTGCCTGGGATAAAACGCAGAATCCTCAGAGGGTGGCATAGACAACATCTTTATATTCTCATAATAGACAAACCATTATTTCTTTGGTATTCTCATGATAAGACTGGAAAATCAGAGGAATGAAGCTCAGCACTTCTGATCTGACCAAGGGCAGCTCTGGGGCCAAAGCAAGCATCCTACATTCCCTCAAAGACACTTCACTACTTCCTTTCTGTTCTGATAAGGCTGGAAACTGGAGGAATGGGATTGGTATTTAACATTCCTAAGTTACTTTTGGGAGAAGCAAGCATCTTCCACTTTCTAAAAAAACTACACTTTCTCTTTTTATATATATATATATATTTTAATTATAAATTTTTATTTTGACATTCTTTACATAGTTAATTAGGGTAAGAAGGTTCAAGAGCTATAGGAAAGTGGATAATACTAGTATGTTTTCCATATTGTTTCCTTCATGTTTAAAGGGGGGTACTAAGGGGGAAGGCCCACCCAATTTCCCACCCTCCCCAGGTCCCGGATGTAGGGCATGCTCTGAGGTTCTTGCTCAAGTGGTTTTGATATTGCAACAGTTATGAATCGCTGCCAATCTTGCCACTCCAAGCACTATGAGGGCTTTGAAAAATCCACTGATTGACATAGTCCATCATAGCTGAGATGGTTGGTTGACCTGTTCTGTCTTCTCTCTTTTCTTGGTTAGGGTTCTGAGTCCAGCATTTAGATTAGGAGGATCTCCAAAGAAACTTCTTGTATGTGCTGACAAGTACAGGGCCTGGCACCGTCCATCGCTCCAATCAGCTGGTGGTTGCAATTGCTGGGTTGGTTCTGTTTTCACTCCCGACTTCCACTGGAACCAATGGGTGTTGCAGTCCAGCCTGGTTCTGCCCAGCACATACTTGGCCCTCACATAAACCAGTAGGAGCTGCAGCCTAGTTGGAGTGACCCACAATAACCCCCACCAGGCCCGCCCCCTACCCTGGTTTGCCAGTAAGTGTAGCAGTAATCCAGTCTGTCCCACACCCCATTCCACCCAAGCCACTATCTTAGTTTTATGTCCTCCTGTGGAAGTGGTAACCCAAGAGGGATGAGCCCACTATTTCCCTCCCAGGCCTCTCCCACTCCCAGATTCCAGCTGATGCTGTGGCTAAGCCCAAACAACCCTCGCCCACTTTAATTTTGTTTGTACCAGTAAGAATAATCCGCCCTGCCCTGCTTTTCCCTGATCTAGTCCACATGAGGCGCACAGGTGTGGTAGCTCTGCCTAGTCTGGTCTGCCCCCATCCCAGCCTATGCTCTCCTGCGGAAGTAGCTGTCCAGCAAAGGAACCCTCCCTTATTCCCGTGCCGGCTCTGCCCACTTCCTTTCTTGTTCTCAGGCTGGTTGGGCACTGCGGTCCCTTCCGGTACATGCAACCTCACTTTGGCATTCTGTATTGTGCACTACTAGTCTTTGTTACGCCCGAACCTGGCTCGACCCACACTGTCTGGTGCTTGGATTTGCCAGTGGATGACGTGGACAGATTCAGCCTGATCTTCCCCCTACCCCTGCCATTTGTATGCCAGTGGGTAACTTTACATGGCCTGTTCTGGGCTGTTTCCTATCATGTTTCTTGCGCTTACCTGCCGGGTCTGTGTCCTGCTAGAGGAGTTGCCCAGGCTCCTCCATCAGAACCTCTCCCAATGCCAGGTTTCACGCTTTCAAAGGAACTCCCACCTTTCTCATTCCAACACATTTAATCTCATACCATTACAGTATGAAGAGTATGCAATGTTAAAAGAGCAAAATTCATTTATTTTTCATAAGATTTGTTTGTTTGTTTGAAAGGCAGGAGCTACAGAGAGAGGGAGATCTTTCATCCAGTGGTTCACTCCTCACAAGCCAGGGGTGGACCAGACCAAAACCAGGTGCCAGGAGCTTCTGGTTTTCCCATGTGGGTTCAGGGTACAAAGCACTTACACAATCTTCCACTGCTTTCCAAGGCACATTAGTAAGGAACTAGATTGTATGTATAGCAGCTGGGATTCAAACTAGTTCCCATACATGATTCCAGCATCAGAGGTGGCAGCTTAACACACTATGCCACAATTCTGACTGAAAAGTTTCATTTCTTAAAGTAGCACTAATTTGGCAGGTAAATGAAGTGTTTCGAACTATTAATGTCACTGTTTTATATGTAAATGGACTAAAGTTTATGCAAACTTTAAGGAGAATTGCACTTCTTTAATGAATATGTGTGATTAGACATGCCTACTTAGCTTTTGAAAATGCTTTAGATCCATTAGTCACAAAAGTATTGTCTTCACAGTGGAAGTGAACTTACATTTACCCTGCTTGATCTACAACCATCCATGGACTATTTCTTAAGGTAAGGACTCCATCCTATACAACCTACCCTGACACTAGAGCCATCTGGACTCCCCAGTCTGTATATGTTCACAACTTAGAATTTCAACAGTCAGCAGAGACATTTTCCAGGCAAAGCGACCTTTCCTTCAAACTTCAAAACAATCCCCACTGTTGTGATGTAGGTTTGGGCCTAGCATTTATTTCCTAGGTTCTTGGCTCTTACTTAAAAAGCACAGACACCAACCCAGCTTAAGAATGTGGTAAAGGTTCTTCAGAGTATGAGGAATACACACATACGTGGGCCAGATTCAGGGAGAGTGAGCCAGGATGGGAAAGTGTAAGGTAGAGAGATTGCTACCTTTTGTCCTCAGAATCCATTTGTGGGGAGCAAGAGAGCAAGCGGGTACATAAGAGGTCAAGAGCCAGAGTGCAGGAGAGACAAAACGAAGAAACATGCAACAACCATGGGAGAGAGCCCCTCCCCGGCATGTGCTTTAAAGGGAGCTTGAGAAGAGAGTAGCTACATAACAACACAACACTGCAGCCACCACCCGTCAGGTTCCAGATAATAATGGGTACCCGTCCTTGGACACACAGGTGGGCAGAAAGAATGACACAAGTGTGGCTTCTGAACCCATGACCCTGAACCAGCTGCCTAAGACTAAAGCACCTCCAAATTGAGTATTACTAGTTCAATCCCTTTTATTTAGAACAGGTGAGAAGGTAATTTGGATGTCATTATCTTCAGTGACCCCATTTTGTTCTATTAGCGAATATTTTCTAATTAGCTCCTGAACGTTTAAATTTGCGGTTCGGTGTGTGTGTTAGGCTAAATATTTGAAAGCTTACAACAACTGTCATTTGCATTTTTAGAGTGACTACCATCAGAGACCCAGAACACAGAACTGTGTCTGAAGTGGTTAGCTTCACAACCCCAGGTTGCGAGCCAGACCCTCCACTTCCACCCAAACTGGTCAACAGATCCAAGAGCAGCCTGAACTTACAGTGGGATGTAAGGAGTTTACTTGGCAAAAGCAATTCAACTGATTTTCATGATTTAAAAATACTTCCTTGTATCTGAATTTTAAAATGCAGAGTTCCGCATGCTTCATCTGAACCTATTTCCCCAGCACTCTTTTTGCTTAACAACAATCTTCCTCTTTATATCTCTAAGAAGTATCAAGTAAATAAGAAATTCAAATTGAATAAAAACAAAGCCACAATTCTACAACCTAAATGTAATTATTTATAATCATAGTTATTAATAAATCTATCTCTATTTAAGTACAACAAGTCTTCAAAAAAGCTCATAGAAAATGTGTATTATAAAAAAAAACTGCATGGATTTCAAGAAACTTTTGAGCTAAAATAAAATTAACCTTTAGAATTCTTTTTATTTGAGAGATGGGAGCGGGCAGCCAGACAGCTCCCATTGGTTCACTTCTCAAATTAGTTCACAGTGGCTGGGGCTGGACCACACCAAAACTAAGAACAGAGACATCCATGCAGGTCTCCTGTCTGGATGACGACGGCCCAGCTGCTTGAGCTTTAGTCTGCTGCCTCCAAGAGTACGCATTAGCAAGAAGCTAGACTCAGAGGCATTTACTGGATTTCCAACCCGAGGAGTTCTGTATGCAACGGGGGCATCCCAACAGGCAGAACTTGGCCAAATACCCAACCTAAACTCAGACTTTTGTTCCATTTTCCGTGGACTTTTTGAAGTACTAATTGTCTTTGTTGGATACGCTCAGAAAACAACAAAGCACAGAAGCTACGAATATCTTCAAGGGTTTTGTTTTGCGGTAACTTATAGTATTTTAAATGTGCGCACACATATGATATAGACGTATATATGTGTATACAACTTTTAATAACATATAAAAATAGCCCCTTACAATTTTATCTTATTTTTAGGGTTCCAACGATAATGGTTCCAAAATAGACAGCTTCCTTTTGGAATGGGATGAGGTACAGTTTTATTTGTTTAAAAGCACTCTTGTGAATGACTATTAATGTTATGATGAATCACAGCATTTTATGATGCTCTAATGTTGTGTATATTACTAAAACAGGGTAAAGGTGAAGACTTCAAAAGTTGTTATATGGGTTCTATGAAACAGCACAAGATCCTTAAACTGAAGGCTTCTACAAAATATTCATTCAGATTAGCTGCCAAAAATAACTTTGGCTTGAGGTACACTAACTTATCTGCAATATCTTAAGGACTATACTTAAATAAGAACATGAAACTGATTTTTTTCTATCTTCATTTCCTTTTTCAGTGATTTCAGTGAAATAGCTGTTTTCCATACCTCAGGAATGATGCCTCCAGCACCTTTACCTCCCAAGCTAAAAGAAGCAGGAATTTGTTATTTGTCACTAGAATGGTGTGCCCCAACTACCAGAAACCCCAATTACAGTTTCACTTATGTTCTAGAAATGGAGGAAGCAGGAACCGTAAGTTTTCCCTTTTTCTATTTTAATCTTCAACCTCATCTTTAGCTACATTTTTATATGCCTTTAACACTTGGAAACATTTTCAATTTAAGTGATTTGCTTTCTACTTGGTAAGTTTAATCAGGCAGTGTCTGATTCTTGAGTCTGTTCTGAATGGAGCCTTTGCAAAGCCCGGGCTCAGCAAGTTGGCACCAGGAGACAGAACGTGCCCATGTCCTGCAAACAAGACAGAGGCAGCAGTAACTAAGGCTGTAACAGACACTCAGAGAAACGTGTTAGCGTGTGAAATGTTGGGTCAGATCTTGGGTAGACACACAGGTATTTAGCCCCTTGATATAATTCTAATATGCCGTTCCCCCACTTTCCTGAATTCCTGATGGGGGTGAACAGCTACTTCATTTGGTTCTAACTTTCAAGCCTGCACAAACAACTGATCAATTCAGAAAATGGATGTCATGTATATTTTAGTTAAAGTAGGAAACATGCAGTAATGTTCTACCTAGGTCTGCCTGATTCCTAAATTTATTGTGTTTCATTTCCAGGGATTAGGTTTTAAGCCTAAATACAATGGGGAAGATCTCTCATGTACTGTAAGAAATCTTCAGAGAAGTACTACATACAAGTTCAGGGTATGTGACAATAATTTTTAAATTATCTTTGTAATATAAAATTATGCACTCCACTAGAGAAAACCAAATGCCTTTTCTGTTTGAAATTAAACCTCTTAAATGTTGTTTATTTATTAGAAGTACTCATTCAACTTGGGTTTATGTGCGAACTATAAAGTTTCAAGTCATACATTTATTTCCAGTGATTAACCAAAATATTGTCTTTTATTCAAATAGATCTTTGCCTACAATATGGAAGGAAGAAGTAACCCCAGTGGAGAAGTAAAATTTACTACCCGTCCAGATAAGCCCGGATCCCCTGAAAAGCCATATGTAAAGGGAAAGCTCCATGCACACAAAGTCAAAATTGGATGGGGTAAATAACATTTTTGTATTTAAAGTTTGCCCTCTATTGAGAAGAAATGTCCTCTAATTGCCCTCAATCTTATCAAGTGTTCCCTTAACCACTTGTATGTGAAATACTCTGCCACATAAACTATGATTAATGACCACAGTACTTCTTCTAGCTCTCCATTGAATTTCCTATTTCTTCTGTTACTATCTCATTAATTCAAAACATGAACATATTACTGAAGTTTATACAGGTTTCTAAATACTGTGATACATTAGTCTGTCTCCCATTGAGATAATGAAATACATTAGTCTTAGTAATTTATAAAGAGCTCATGGTTTTAAAGTATGGAACCAATTATTTCTTGTGTCCCCTTGGTTGGGTCACAACATGGTGGATAACATCACAAACAAAGTGTTAGCAAGGGGGAGAGATCACGTGATGAGAGAGGAACCCAGAAAGGACCAGTGGGGCAAGCTTGCGCTTTTATAATAAGCACTACAACCTAACTACTTCTCACCAGACCCCACGTCTGAAAGATTGCACAGTACCTGAACATTACCACATGGGGGACCAAGGCTATAACATATAAATTCTTGGGGAACAAACCACATCCAAACCATAGTACACGGTTATTCTGAGGAAGATTACATGCAATATAGAGGTCATGTTAGAAGGCTATGTCGATGAATAATGCCAATTTTGCAAGAATTCATTCAAATTCTTTCACCTTTAAGCTATAGAAATCAATTTCATAACACATATGTAAGTACCCAGTATCTTCCAGAGAGCTCTAAAATATTATTTCAACTTATATTCAATTTGGGTTAATTTTTATAACCTTTATTAATGCCTGGATATTATTAAAATATCATGCATCATGTTTGTACTTTCCTCCATTAAAAATTGTCAATTTGTGGGAAGACAGCCAGATGAAATACTAACATGTTAATTTAAGAATAATTTTAATTTTATTTCTCTTTTTAGAACCACCCAAAGATAATGGTGGAGCGTATATTTCAAGTTACAGTTTAGAAGTTAGTGAAAATTCAGATGGTAAGATATCATGATTTTTTTCAATATTTTATTTTTAAATATTTTTTGACTCACAAGAAGTTGCAATAATGATAATAAGAGTCTCCACATAAAATCTTCACTCAGCTTTTTCTAATATTAATATCTCAGGCAATTATAGTGCAACTTTCAAAACCAGGAAATTTGAATTGGTGTGATTCTGTTAACCCAATACAAAAATTTACAGATTTCCCCAGTTGGAGGTAATAAATCATGTTTATTTACTGATGTTTTATGATTTTATGATTAATTCTACTGGGACTACAATAAATAATTAGACAATGTTAATTTCCAAATTGGTTGATATCTTATTACATGCATCAGTTATCATGGGAACCCATATATATAACTAATGTATTATCTACAAGCAGATTGGACACATTTGCTTTTATTCTTTCAGTGAATCTCTGGAACATAATCTACAATGGCAGTACCAGGGAGTTTCTCTATAAGAATCTGCAACCTGGTACTATATATAACCTGAGAGTCTTTTGCACTTCACGGATAGGCCAAAGCCAGGTGAGGAAACAGAAAGTGAAATCATAGTACTAAATCATTTATAAAACTGATCTGAAATTCAGCATAGTCATGTAGTGTTTTGTATTTCTCTTAGCCTTCAGATATATTGTCTATTCAAACACCTACTCTCTCTCCTGCCTATTGCCAACTTCCACCCTTAAATGATAAGACAGAGTCCACAGCAAGCAATCTCCAATGTGGTGAGTATTCTTTGTATGGAATAACTGTGATTTAATTTTCTGCTTTGTACTTTTAATTTCTAATTTCTAAATAGATCAAACATCATTAAAATGTAACAAATGTTTTTAGTACAAAATAAAACTTTGCTTAGCAAAGTTTCCTATTTCATAATTGAAACCGCAAGCATTTAAATGTCTGTAAAATAAATCTAAGATTTGACACAATATATTTGATTCTTGTTGCTTTAAGTGTTTGAACAGTCTTCCTATTTTGTATTTTTTTAAAAAAAAAACTGTAAGTACACAAGAAATTGTATTTTGTACATTCTTATAGAAAATCTTCCTCCTAATGTGATGGACACACTTGTATATGTCAATAAGGCAGAAGATGACCAAGACGACACATCAGGAAACCCATGCTCTGAAGTGAGATTCACAGTGAGTAAATGAATTCCTGTAGAATCCAGGTTTCTGATAAAAGCAGCAAATAGATCTGGGAAAGATATAGTGTTCATTTTGTCCATTTGTATCTCATTTCATCTAAAATTAATGATAAATATCCATAAACATTGGTGTTCATCTTTTCAGAAAGATAGTGAATGCCATCACAAAACCTGTTCAGTGCAATCATATCCTTAGAAAGAGAAAACAGTGACAGAATCTACTGAAACAGGATTGCCACCAAATTGTAATAAACTTAGCCATATTTGTTTAACCATACAAAACAATTCGACCATCAATGGTACCATGTCAGCCATTCACAATCTGAATGAACTGGGTCAATTCAGTTACGGGACAGATAAATAATGTCATGAGACATTTCTGTTTTGTAATATGTTAGTAGCCAGCTATTACTCATGGATGTGCTTTTAAATCAGCTACTAAGTCTGCCAGTGAAAATAACTCTCTTTCCAGGGATGTAACTTTAGGATTCTCCAAATAGTCCATCAGTGTGTCCTTTCCCCAGGGGGTGCCTTTGCTCTTGTTGTCATCTGTGTAAGAGAATCCAGTAGCCTGACCTGGTTGCAGCCAGAAGAGGCCACGGCAGTTTAGCTCAGTCTTATGATTGTCTTTTATACCCAATGCAGCATTGCGCATATGTCTGAACAATTGTCTTTTTTTTCCTCTCATCTTCACCCATTTCTAATGTGTTCTTTCATCACTTGCTGTACCAAGATTCGCACACACATAAAGTGAATACCTGCCTCTCAAACGAACATACATTTTTGCTTCTTGAGAAGGTGAAGGGTAACCATGTTTTCATTTATTTGTTCACTTGTAGCTTGGCTCTCATTTCATGAAGTGTCACACTGCACTGGTGCCTGGTTCTCCTTTTCAATGGAATACACTGGTGATAACCTGTAAAGGGCTAATCCGTGTTGTTGTTAGTTGGGGAGTATGTTATCCATTTATTTTTATTAATTTTCATATTTTGAGAGAACAGTAATTGTTTTACAAATGCTTTGGAAAAGAGCCTATGAAACTGTGTCAAAAACGAAAAAAAAAAAATGCTTTGGAAAGTCTTGGGCTCTCTGTGGAGTCAGAGTTTACCATTAGGGGTCCAGAAATCTTGCACCACAGTTTCTAGAACACACCTAAGACCCGGTGTTAACTATATCACATTAAGAAGTCTACGGCAATATCCAGTACTCTACAAATACTGTGTTGTTGGGTTTTTTAAGATTTGTTTTTTTTTATTGGAAAGGCAGAATTAGAGAGAAGGAGATGTAGAAAGATTTTTCATCGGCTGCTTCACTCTCCACATGGCCTCAACAGCTGGAGCTAAGCCGATTCAAAGCCAGGAGCCAAAAGCTTCTTTCAGTTCTCTTGTGTGGGTACAGGGTCCCAAGGCTTTGGGCCATCCTCTATTGCTTTCTCAAGCACAAGCAGGGAGCTGTATAGGAAGCAGGGCTGCCAGGATTAGAACTGGTACCCATATGGGATCCCGGTGCATGCAAGGAAAGGATTTAGCCACTGGGCCACAGTGCTGAACCCCACTACAAATGTTGTTTTTGAGGAGGATTATAAATTTGGAATGTCAAATAGACAATAAATAGGTAACAAATAAAATTTTTCAAACAAAAGTAAGAATAATAAAATCACATTTTATTTATAGAAAGTAGAATTTATATAATTTATAAATTATACATTTGTATATTATAAAATTATACATTTACATAATTGTAGAATTTAGCTTTTTAAAGAAACATAAATGGGAAAAATCTCTAGTTGTCTGTGTATGCATGGTATCATATGACACGCAGGAAATGTGAAAACAAAACAATGAACTCTTAAATATATTTTATACTGTGGCAATAGAATGCTGGACTGTCTGACATTGTCTGTGCCAGCAAAGTCAGGACACAAATAACAAAATGATGGACTTGTGACTGCTTATGAAGGTCTATACTATTTTCTTTAGTTTCCTGAGTTTTCTTTTTTATTTTAAATTTTACTTCATTATCATCATCATCATCATCATCATTTTATGATACAATTCCATAGGCCCTGGGATTTGGCTAACTCCCTCCCCAATCCCCTTTCTCCTCACTGAGTTCCCCTATATTATTACTATAGTATAGTTCTTCATAAACAGTCATATATCCATCATTATGGGCATGGACAATGGCAGAGAGTCCATCATCCTATTGTCAAGATATAGTAAAGGTTCATTGGGAGTGCATCTTTGATCTGGAAGTAGAGATGCATACTGTATTGTTTTTTCACATCTGAATATGATAGTCTCCATTATAATTACTGTATATTCCCTTAAATGAAAATCCACAAAACAAAATCAGTAACAGGAAGAAAAAAGAAATTTAAAACGCCATGAAGTTAAATAAATGCTACTGAATGACTAATGTGTAAATGAAGAAATGAAAAAGAAAATCAGGAAACTTCTTGAAGAAAATGATGCTTCTGTATGATCTACACCCAGTCATATTAAACCTGAATGTAAATGGTTTAAACTTATCAACCAAACATCATAGATTAGTAGACTGAATTAAAATAACAAACCCATCTATTTGTTGCCTACAAGAGACGTATCTCACCAACAACAATCACCACAAACTGTATCTCACAGATTTTGATCTTTTTAGTTTCATCTCTTCAAAACACTTTCATCTGATCTATACTATTGTAATAATATAGGGGATATCAGTTGGGGGGATTTGGGGGGGAAGGTATAGTGAAATCCCAGACCCTATGCAATTGTACCAAAAAATTTAAAATAGAATAGAAAAAAAGTTAAATATATATATACTTACATCCCTGTGAATATTTTCCCTTTCAAATAAATAAATCTTAAAAATAAATAAAAATAGAAATCAGTGTTCCTTTTTGGGGAGAGGTTATTTATTTTTATTTGAAAGGCAAATTTACAAAGAGAAGGCAAAACAGAGAGAAAGATCTTCCTTCCACTGCTTCACTCTCCAAATAGCCGGAAAAGGCAAAGCTAAGCTGACCTATAGTCAGGAACCAAAAGCCCCTTCCATATCTCCCATATGGGTCCGGGGACCCAAGGACTTTAGCCATTCTCTGCTTCTTTCCCAGACCATAAACAGACAGAGAGATTGCAAATGAGCAGCCAGAACTATAACCAGTGCCCATGTGGGATGTCAGTGCTAGCAGGAAGAAGATTGGCCTGTTGAGCAACAAACCAGCCCCCAGGTCTTGTAGTATGGGTTACCTGAAATGTTGGAATCCCATGTGGGTGCTGGTTGAGTCCCAGCTGTTCGGCTTCTGAACCAGCTCTCTCCTAATGGCCGGGGAAAAGCAGCAGAGGCTGGTCCAAGTTCTTGGGATCCTGCAATCCATGTGGAAGACCCACAAGAAACTCCTGACTCTGAACTTTGGCCTGGTTCCTCCATGGCCATAGCAGCTATCTGAGCAGTGAAGTAACAGATGAATGATGTTTCTCTCTGTTCCTCCCTCTCTCTATAACGGACTTGCAAATCAATAAATCTTTTTAAAAAATAGATAATATTAATAAAACATTGAAAACCTATTCACCTGGGGGCTGAAGCAATGACTAATCTTCCACCTCCAAGCACAAGGATCACATAAAGGCACTGACTTGTGTCTGGCAACCTCCACTTCCACTCCACCCCCCTGCTTTTTGTGGCCTGGAAAAGCAGTGGAAGATGGTGTAAAGTCTCAGAACCTGCACCCACGTGAAAGGCTTGAAACAATTTCCTGGCTCGTGACTTCAGATTAGATCAGCAAGTAGTTGCCCCACTTTTAGTGAGCCAGTGTCAGCAGAGCCCAAACAGGAGCAGTTGACTATGCATCCATCCAACTCTTGCACTGCTGTATCTCAAGAGACAGATTGCCAACTCAAAACGTATTAAATAGGATCCACGGTTTCCTTACATACTATTCAGAATGCTCTGAACAGAGGAAAACTCCTTAGAGGGTAGAAGAAACAGGAAAGTCACAGCTCCTTTTGCCCACTCTGTAAATGTTCTTTACCCTGTAGACCGTTTCTTTGTTGTGGAGAAGCACTTTAGTTTGACCAAATCCCAATTGTCTGTTTTGCTTTTCTTGCTTGGCTTGGAGGGTCTGAGTCAAATACCCCTTGTCCATTTCAGTGTACTAAAGTATCTCCTTGTGTATTCGTAGAGAAGCTTCAAATTTTCAGATATCACATTTAAGTCTTTAATCTATTTTGAGTGGATTGTGCTACACAGTACCAGATAAGGGTCTCATTGCATTCTTTGATGAATATCTTTGGCTAGTCAGTCACTTATGTTTCCTTTTGAATTTGAGGATTGTTTTTCCTAATTCTGCTTTTCTTCTTATATGCTAAATGTGGCATATTTGTATCTGACCAATAATTGAACTAAAAAGCTATAAAAACTCACAAAACAGTTTTCTTGTGTGTACTCCCTGCCCTTTTTCATGCATTTGCTGTCAGTGTTAAATGTATGTAGTCACACACTTTAGCTTCAACATCGGGCACTGAGGCGTAGGAATCCTTCCCTACTACAGACAGTAAGGCGTCAGCCGTTCCCCAAGAGTAAGCTGTTCATTTCCATGTACTTAGGAGGTTTTCACTGTTACTGATGCTTTAGTACCTTGTGATTTGATTGTTTCTATTTCTTCAAAGTTGTTGATGTTTCTTTGTTGACCTACCATTTGGTCAATCCTGGACAACGTCCCGTATGTTGTTGGGAACACTGTACATCACAGCTGTTGGACAGAATGTTCTAGAGATGTGTGTTAGGTTCAGTTGTTCTAGAGATGTGTGTTAGGTTCAATTGATCTAAGTGCAATTTAACTTTGTTGTTTGTTGATTTTCTGTCTGGATGAGCTGTTCCTTTCTGAACGTGGTATTTTAAACTCATGACTGTATTTTGGTGCTCCAATATTGGGTGCATTTGTGGTTGCTACTCCCACTCACTGACATGATGCTTTATTAACATATATAACCTTCC